CCTTACCTAAATTAATTGTTCACTTAGTATATTTTCTATTAACCTTCTATGAATATTGAAAATATTACTAACTTAGATAATAAATTAGGATTAATAAATGTAATCTGTAAGGGGGTTACAAAATGCGCACACAATTCAATCATCCGCGAACAAGCGAGAAGTCGTTTTAATCACGAGGTAGGGTTTTCCTGCAGAAAAGTGCTTTGGCGAAGGTAGGTTCTAACTGTTCTCACCAAGGCTAAGGCCCCCAAGGTGCCCCCATTATAGGGTCCCCACTCTCCAGCCTTCCGACCATGCTTAGCACTAAGGTCATAGTCAGTCTTTGTGCCAAAAGAGGAAGGTTATCACCTTGAGTGGTGGTTTCCGATCACACTGGTGGGCACAAGGTCATCACTACAGCGAACCGTACCTGCCACCCACTCCCTATGGATTTCTAACTTGCCCCCGGGTATAGAGGGAACTATTGTGTGCAAAGGGTTTGTGTACAGTTTGTATTTCAAACAATTGTGTAAATATAAACAAACAACAGTTATTAAAGCCAAGCATTAAAACATGTTATAATACAAGATAGAGTAAAAGCGTAATTTTCTTGGTTTATTTATTTTTAAGCTGGCCCATCACTAAATGGGATCAACTCTCTGGACTTCCCCAGTGGAGTCGCCATCTGTCGCCGCCGTCAAAACAAGGCGGTCGGAGCGACGCGATGGTTCCAACTTTTCGACTTTCGCGTTTTTATTGGTGTGGTTACAACGCCTTTAGGTTGTCCGATAACCGGGCTGAACCTAGGGGCGAGGTTTTCGAAAGGGTGCTCTTGGATTGTCCGATAACCGGGCTAATCCAAGAGCTAGTTTTTAAAGGGTTCTCTGGAGTCGCCACCGATGTTTTTAGCGGAAACATCGGAAAAGGGTTTAAAAAGGCGTTGGTTTTCAAAAAACCAACTTTGGTCATTAGAACCAGAGTTGGGTAAGGGAGTTAGTTACACGTAAAGGAAGTATTAGTTCCTTTATGACGCCCCTTTCGGGTTCCCTATGATAGGCCAGCTTATTTAAATGATTAAACCGGAAAAATACGCTTTTTACCCTTTTATTTGCGGAATTTAAAGATTATGACTACATGGCCCTAGATCTATTACATAATTGAAATAAAGCGGTAGAAGAGAGAGGGAGAGTGTAGAAACCTCCGAGGCACGCTTTCTATTAATTCTGTAAAAAATTAGGGTGTTATGTGGCAGCCCATCACTCTACACAGCATCGGAAACCTCTCGAAACGCTAAAAAAACACTCTTAGAAATGCTCAGAAACTCTGAAAATGCTTCGGAGGGATTATAGAGAGAGAATTTGGTGATGTGACTAGAGAGAGAGTGAGAAAACTGTGTGGAATGAGGGGAATGGAGCCCCTATTTATAGGAATTCGCGCATGTCAGGTCGAGACGGGTCGTCTCGTCTGACAAGGTCGAGACGGCCGTCTCGCCAATCGAGACGGTCGTCTCGCCTTGCAGGAATGGCGAGACGGCCGTCTCGCCACTTGTGCAAGGCGAAACGGCAGTCTCGACCCTCAAAGGCGAAAATCCTTATTTTTGTGCCAAAAAACCCTCACATCCTAGTATGGGGCCTAATAGTCTCTCCTAGTGGCTTCTTAGGCTTCATCCATTTTCGAAAAGGAGGTCTTCTGGTCTTTATTATGAGGTCGGGCAAGATTTGGGGTCTACAATTATATAAATAAATTATAAAGATTATATTCTGTCATTAAATTACAAACCCATATAAAGAGACTCGCTCACAAATTTGGCATCAAATTTTGAAAACTCACTCGACACACACTCTCACCTTCGAGCGTGTCCTCACATCCAACGTATAAATATTTAAATATATAATTATATAAATATATCAAAATATATAAATATATTTGTATTTGTATATTTATATATTTACACGGATATATATTTATTTGTATATAAATACAATTTATTTGTAAGTTATTATCGAGAAAATTCTAGTAGTTTAGTGGTTGGAGTATCAGCCTTCAACTCTAAGGTATTGGGTTCGAATCTTGTTAGTAAAAATTCTCTTCAAAAATTAAATTGGTAATGCTTAAACTTCTAAAAAATATGATAAATAATAAAAATATAATATAAAAGAGAGGGGGAGCCTAATAGAAATATAATATAAAAGAGAGGGGAAGAGAAGGGGGCTTCTAGATAAATTGTAAATAATAAGTATTAGTGGAATAGGATGTACACATGACACAAACACAAATACAACAAGATGATAATGGAAATATAGACAAATTAATAAGAATTGGTGGAATATGGTCATACCTATAATTGGAAGTACATGTACACTGGCATAAGTCAAACACAAACACAATATGATTACAAACATAAACACATTAATTGATATTATTATGCCTCTCCACCAATATTCTACGTCGTCGTTACAAATTAAACCCTCATTCAAGCTTATCATCAATTGTTCATCGCACCATTACATTCGTCGTTGTAGCTTGACCACTTGCCATCCTTTTGCCGCAACACTTTGCCATCATATTTATTGTGTTTTTCGCATCATCATGTTTGAGTGGCATGAAAATGTTTGTCGTATTTCAGTCTCACGTTATAGTCACGTCACAATGTTTGTCGTGCTACAGCGCTACAGTGTTTCAGTCTCGCATTTAGGCCACCCCATAGTGTTTGATACGTCATTATGTTTGTCGCACCATTGCATTTTTCGCACCACCGTGCTTTAGTTGTTCCATAATGTTTGCCACATTTCAAGTGTTTGTCTTGCCCGTGCTATATTATTTTAGTCTTGCAATTCATTCATGCTTATTAGAAAAAAAAAATTGAATAACAAAAACTAAATGTGGGTTAGTGAGTCAACCCACCAATGAGGCGGGTTGTGAAATCTTTGGCTCGCTATAAAGTGAGTCGGGTTGAGCTCGTTTATTTTCTGCTCAACCAATAGTGAGTCAACCCGTGTGAGTCAGATTGACTCACTTTAACACTCATATCTGTGACATGATTGAAACATGATAAATATTGTGACGCAACTGAAACACAGTGGTGCGACAAACACAATAATTACTATGACGTATGTGTGTAGGGTTGTTAATATGAGTTATAACCCATGAGGCAACCTGGCTCATCACTAGTTTGAGCCAGGTTAGTTTCGATTTTTTTTTTAATTCTATTGGTAATGGATTAAAAATGAACTCAACTTACTTAACCCACATTGTTAGAATCGTGCAGCGGAATGTTTGCGTGAACTGACAAAAACCAAGAGGAGGGTGATTGGTTTCTTAACAAAAATTAGGTTTTAAAAATTTTCCCCAAATTTTACCGATTAAAAAGCTGTGTAAACGTAAATAGGATAAGGATAGAGTCTTACATGATGTGACTTGGATACTACATCATGCAATATTTTTCTAGTGTAGATTTGAAAATATGCTTTTATGCCTCACAACAAACGCCTCCCGTATATATTTTAGTTGATTTTCATACATCATTTGCCAAACTGCCCAAACTGATATGAATCGCCGTGTGTTCAGAAGTTGTCACTGTGTTTGGTGTGCACATTCAAACCCCAATTTTTGTTGTTACTTGTCGATTTATTCACACAAGCTCGTACTACCATTATATGCTCTTGTAACATATTTCAGAAACAAGGGACATGTCAGATATAAAGCTACACACTAGTGAAATAATCAGCAGATAGCAGAGTCAGACAATGGGATGAAAGAAAGCGCCTTACACTTAAATAATTATAATTTTGCCTGTTTTCCACTTGCAAAATCATTCTCAAATTTCCTTGTAAGACACACTTTGGAGTCCTTGTCAGTTTCATTGAATATAGATAATGGAATCATAGAAAGGTACCTTGGCTGGGCAGCTTCAGGGTTTGAGAGTTCAGACAAGACAACTTAAGCGACATAGTTTCATCAGTATAAACAAGACTTAGTAAATTATCTTTGTTTAATCACTTAGTAAGAATTTTTTTTTTTTAAGTCAAATCACTTGATAAGATGTTTGATCATTTCTATACATTGTTAAAAATGTTGAATTCAACCCAAAGCGATTGATGTTGTTTAGAGATCAATATATTGGACAATAATGAAGCAAAATCAACGACCGTGAACAAGGATTCTTTTATTTGTACTTGCAAGATGTGTCTGTTTCATTTTTCTCTGAATATAGCCTACCAAAAGATTAGTTTAATACAAAAACTTTTCCTTTCCAACAGCCACTTGTCTCGTTTAGTTCAATAATGATGCTATCTTGACATTGTTAATGTTTATCTTTCCCATGTTTTACTTTTTCGGGTTAAATACATCTCGTTTTCATGACTAAGACAAAACATAAAATAGTTGCCTCGATTTTTTCATAGTTTTTTCTGAAGTAAAATTATTTCTTACATGTTATTCCAACACTATTATCCGCCTATGGTTCCCGTATTTATCACTACGGGCCTACGACATAGCTATGAATTGCAAAAATTATTGTCAGAGAAATTCATGGTATTGATAACAATCCTTTTCCATCCTTACCCCTCATATTTTTCAGAGACATTATTACTAGGATAGGAGTTGGGAAAACAATAAATATTCTTTTCAGAAAGTAAACACTCCAATTGTCGTGTGTTTATTTTTACGCTACCTCCAATCATATCTTTAATTTAACTGATATGGTGATTTAACATCCAAGAACAAGGATGAAATCAACATTAGAGATTGCTGAACACATTGTTGCATTTGTTGGTCACCTTAGACCCCGTTGCGTCATTTTTACAGTACAGGGAAACGTTTCTATTGCAATGTGTAAGAAGATCAAATAGCAAAAGTGCATAACCAACCATCCATGAACAAGTAGAAGATGAAAGCACGAGTAGAAAGATGAGGCGGGGAAATAGAGGATCATGTTTAGTATTAGCAAACGGCTAACACCTAACATAGACTCAAATCAACAGAGAAGAGAACAATGATGTTGGTTTCCAAGGCGAGAGATGCTAGCTTGACAATTTTCTACGACCAGTGATAAAGTTGAGAGCAAACATTGAAAATTGGGTGAACGTGAAAAACATTTGCAGCATAGCACGACCCTTGACGATACCCTCCCTCACGCCCCTTGCGGTTCTGGCCACCACAGGCTCATCACTACCCTCAGCTTTCGACTTGATCGTTCCCTGCAAGGAAGCTATAACAAAGTGAAGAACATGAAGTAAAATGGCTTTGTTTGCATTACCTAAAAACTAAAGTCACAAGACCTAACTTAAATGGTCATGATCGGTACGTAACCTGAAGAAGGCATAGTAGTCAAGCGGCGAAGCCTCTCCTCTGCCAAGCGAACTACACGAGTGGAGCTTCTAACACCTTGAGTAATCTCTTGCCTATACCACCCCACAAAAGTGACCGTAAAACCAACATTATAAAAACAACATAAAACTAGCAAAATTTTGAAAGAAAAATAAATAAATTATTAAAAGCATAAGCCATTGACTTATTCCTTACTGCATGTCTTACCACCAATTTAGTCCCTTAAAATGTAAGGAGTTAAGCCTTAGGCGTAGTGACTTTGTAAGATTTCAAACAAATATGTCCAATCAGTCCATTTAAATATTGAGATTTAATTATTATTATTATTGTTAATTTAATATTTAAACATATATTAATATGATCACGTCACACATTTTCAAATTTAGGCTAATGCAATTAATCAATTATACTTTTAGAGACTTATTTGAGAATTTTCCTAGTTTTACTTAAATCGCCGGTTCATTCCAAGTTTCACTTACTACCCTACATGAGCACAGAGATGAGGCCAACAAAAACCACTACAAAAAGTTTTTCATGTGCTCATTTGCTCTCAGTTTTACACAGTCATAAATTTTTGTAACGATTATAGGCTGCTAGAGAGCTTTAATGGCAGTGTTATGTCAAGCAATCTTAATGAGAGGGATGATATAATCATTATGTATGTGGAAGGAATAGAACTCAGTTTCTTGATGGGGACTAACAGTTTAATGATAAAAAAATTACCCTATGTCACTGAGCTCAGTGGTTAAGTCACTGATTTCCATGCCGGATAATCGAATTGCGACCATGGTGTTGGGAAGTTCCTCCCTCGTGGCATCCATCAGCTTCTCCATCGATTCCGCTGCTTTCTTGAAAGCCTTAAAATCATATCACATTCTCACGATCAGAAACATAAACCTCACAAAATCAAAAACAAAATCGAGAACACAAACCAGGAGCGTCGGAATCGCGGAGCAAAACAGCAACGTTGCACATACTGCCGTCTGCACGAGACCACACACAGAGGTTACGTTAATTGAAGAATGGGGAGAAAATAAATTACTTGTTTGAAGAGAGTGTCGACGGTACCGCGCAGGCAAAGCCGTTGAGAACGGTAACGTGGCGGCTGGTGAGGTTCCAGTGTTGGAGCGATGAAGAGCCGACGGTGGAGGTGTGGTATGAGGGTTGAGCGGTGAAGGAGCACAGAGGTTGGGGAAGGGACGAGAGTTTTGTGAATGAGAGACGACGGTGTGAGTGAACGTTGATGCCGAAAGTGTGCTTCGAGTGTGGAACTATGATGCGTGAGTTTGAAACTTGGAATTGCAGAGCACTCGGCATTTCTTCTCTTTGCGAGACGCAGAGGGCGATACAACCAGAGCGTATATAAATCAACCATGACCAGACTGCTTCTCTCGGTTTCTGCACCTTTTGGACTGGAACAAGCCCAACTTAAACAATGCATTTAACCAATAAAAAAGCCCGAAAGGAAAAGGAAAAAGAAAGAGAATCACAAATTAAACACAGAAATAGTCCAAATATGATCTATTTGAGGGCATTTCTTTCTGGTCCTCATAAAATTCAAATCACATCCTTTACCATTCCACATTATCCTTTCTAAAACGAAAGGAAATGCAACTTAATCTTTTTTTAGGGTGCAGGAAGGGGCAACCTCTATGCGAATGACATTATGTCGGACTCTATTTATCAACACTAAAATCAATGGTCCAGAATACAAAACGACAACTCGTAATATTTCTACAATTTTGTCTAAAATATAAGAAACTATATTTCTGAATTCTCTTGTTCCCATTTGAAAAGACTTTCATTCCTTTGAATTGTAATTATTTTATTTTATTATCATATATGATAAACCCATATTAACTTTACTAGCTTTTTTATAAATTAATAATCTGCACGCATCTAATCATTTTGAAGTTTGAAATCACGGCCTTCAAAGCTAATCTAGAGAAAGAAACTTCGATGATTTGCCTATCATTTACATCGCATATTTACAACATAATACCCTCTAACATAGCCTACAAAATTCTTAATTCGCCTATGGCGATTATCCTGCCCATATGAAGAAGAACTTCACTATCTGGAACATAATTAACTCCTACCCGATTACACCACCCCCTCCTTTTTTTTTCCCTTCGCCCTTCTTTTCCTTTTCTGTTTTCCTTTACAGTTCTACTCACTTTTTTTATATTTGTAGTTCACAAATATGCAAATCATTAGTCACTGACAAGCTAAATTCCATCAGGAACCAAGCAACCAAAATAGAAGCTCCCTAGCCAGTCGTCTTCTATCAAATTTTGATAACACTTGTCACTGTTGCGTTGCAAAAGAAACATCTCTGGCAATTCAAGAGGTGCCTGGTTATACAACCATAACAAGACTTGTGCGAACAAGGTTTAATTTCAGCATCTACGTCACATGCATAACATATGCAGCACAGGCTATCATCAGGATCTGTATCTCCCACACTGTCCACTTTATCATCTTGTAATACGGTGCGGCAAGTAAGGAGACTAAGAAAATTCTCTAGCTGCTCATATTTTGCCACATAAGCTTCCCCTCGGAAAGATCCATCCTGGAAAATGGAAGAGCGGACTAGTGTCAAAGATCAAGGGAAAACTGGACTCGTGACATATATATAGGAACTGCCAACTTTTAGATAGCTCACTCATCATTTGAAATTGTTGAGGTTATTAAAGAAACAAGAAATCATTTTTTTAATATTGTAATGCATGTCTGCAAACTGACGGATCTCTACCAATGAACTTTGCAGGCTGACTTTATTAACAATTTAGCTTTGGATAGCTCCAAGTTGGAAATAAACAGTGATGAACTAAATCGAAAATTTTCGAAAAATTGAATAAAAAGTGCATCAGAAACAAAAGGACATTCCATATAACTAGGGAATCAAGAACGTACGGTGAGAATAACTAACCCAGTTATAATCCAGAAGATACTGGAATCCATATTGAACAGTATCTGAACAGTCCATGCTTGCAAAAATATCTAAAAGATCATTGTTTTCTTGATAATCTTCCGAATTTATAGCATCCAATAAATTTAAGATGATCCCTACTAGAGGTGCCAATATCATGCCTCGGTTAATTTTTTCTGGAGATTGGCTATGCCGTCTAAGGGTGGTCCTGAAAAGGAATAAGAGAGAGGGCAGGCTCATAAAAAATCAAATAACGAAAAATATTTTAAACCAACTCAGATGATTCCAAATTCTCAAGGAACCTTGGACTATCTGTTTCTAAGGAAATAATATCTGTGCGTGTGTGGAGGTGGTGCATTCAGTTCTGGCTATATTTAAGTCATAGGAAGGGTTGGAACGTACAAGTCAAAGAATTCAGCATCGGCTGCAGAAGTAATGTGATTTAGGATAAACACAACCAATTCGGTTAACCTTCGAAGGTTAGTGTTTGGTCCAGACAGGAATGCTTGAGGAATCTCACGAGTGCAGAATTCCAGAATCCGTGCAAGATTACATGAAAGATCAAATATCACACAACATTTCCTTTGCTGAAACTCTATTACCTGCGAAAGAAGTGTTACAACAATAAATATTCGAATCAATATATCAAACTCTGAATTAGCCAAGCAATCATTATAATTATAGAAACATCTTCAATCGTACACAGGCAATGTCTTTGATCGAACTTAAGTTAAATAAATAGAAAAATGAATCAGCTACAGAAGTAAATACATAAAAAACTGAAATCCCAGAACCCATGTAGCATATGTACTCTTACTGCTACAGAACTCTAACTTAGAGCAAGAAGAAGCCAGAAAGCAAACAAAGATTCAAATTTAGTAAATGATGGAAAAATAAATTCATACCTGGTACTTTTCTTGCATTTCACGAAGAGAAACTGAAAATTCAGTCATGGTCCAGCTTAGTGTATTGAACACTCGGTTTAGAAAAGATGAAAACAATCCTTCATCGCTTATGCAAGCTTCCCTTAGCAACCTCTGCATTGCATCAAGAGTAAAGGAGGGAAAACCTTAATGGTGATAAATTGATCCAGGCAAAACCTACTCAGTAACATAAATAATTTGTTAACATACTTGGAAAAGGACCGATGACGAAGAGGATTCTCCATTCTTCGAAAAACTAAAACCAGAACCCTTGCATAACCGTAAGAGTATGTTTGTCACGGGAATCCAAGATCTGTTATCAAATGCTGATAGTAAAGCTTTCGGCATCCTTTGGGTTGCTGCTTCATTGCTCTCAAAGGTAGCCAAATATTCCCTGTACTGGACCAGGACAGATATAGACTGAAGAAGAAGATCCCTAAGATCTGCACTTGATATTCTCGGATCATTGAAATGAGTAACTACAAAGGTGACCTAGAAAAAAAGTTATGAAAGAACGATTTATGATAACTGCAAGAATCACTGTTTGATCTAAAATTAGGTTCATGAATTTTTCCGATTCATGGCATATTGCTTTATCTCATGTAATTAGGGAGTTGCACTTGTGTGTGTAATTTAGAACAAATAGGTGTATTTGATTGAAAGATTTATTTTCAAAACCCACAGTTGGATTGGAAATTCCTATTGCGTATAATTATAAACTATAGATTGATCCAGAATTATTTATACTCTATTTATATACATCAAATTTGACGTGATAAATACTTCTTAAGGTATATACCAATATGAATCATTTGACTACCATCATATTGTTCATTTTTTATAAAATTTGACACACAATCAAGGTAACATATGGTTATAATCCAACAGTTGGACTGATTAAAATTATATTCTGCATAAAGTTATTGATAGTGTAATAGTTGGTGTAAGTTATACTAATATCAGTTGGTCCCTCTTCACACACCATACTTTTTCACTGGAGCATTCAGAAATTCCTATCACTTTTTCCTCCACTAGTTCTCAGGCCATTCAAAACCCTTAGTAAATATGCAAGGTTTATAAGCAATAAAGCATGTGCCTGTAAGACTCAGTTATAATAGGAAGATGAACATACAAATCTTGATTATCATTTTAGATCTTTCTATGTTGCTTATATTTACTTCATTTGTTACACACACACATGTGCGCATGGCAGTGTCTTGATAATGTTCTATGTTATTTTATATTGGCCATGTGAAAGTGCCTGCACAGGAGTCTGTACTTAATATATATTATGATATAGGGCCAAAATTTATGCTAGAAATATTCCACAGGTTATGTAGAATCAAATTTCATTCCCTAAAGATCCAGAAACAAATATCAGGTATAATTTAACTAAATGTTAAATAGGAAAAGTAGAGAAGTAGAGATTGAAAGCGTGATGCATACAAATGAAGTAAGTCCTCTCTTGATGAAAATTGTGGATGGAACAAAGGGAGGATCACTTTTCCGCAACACATGAAAGCAATCAACCTGTATGGGTTCGGGGGAGCAAATACTTATGTTAGGATAAGCTATATAAAATTATAAAAAATGGTAAGAAAAATTTTAATTAATAATGTATACTTATGCAAATTAACTAGGTTAATGAGTAAACTACCAACACAAATTCATATAAAATTTTACGCTTTTTCTAATATGACCCCTTCCCTCTTAGTCACAGCACAATGTGTCAGATAACAAGTCTAATATGTTTGCCGCACAAGTAACAGGAAAACCCAAAAAAGAAAAAGTATTAAAGTGGATAAATAGTGAAGATGTTCTGTACTCTGCAACTGAATGAATTAAAACAGCTGTTAAATCTAAATCATCAATGATAAGTGCTTATTTACCAACGCTTCAAGATAATATTCAGGGATGTATATAAACACTGAATCCATATTGCTCAGAACCAGTAGCAACTGGACAACCCACATGCACATTGCATACATTCCTCTCTGTTTCCACCGAGAAAATAGAGAGATGCGGTACCTGTAAAGAAAGAAATCACGCCAAAACAAGTCTGAGAAACAACAATGATGCTGTACATACTAGGTTGTTTTCAAAGGACCAGACTTTTAAGAAACATCCAGAAAGCTAGACTGAAACAGAACATGATATATTCTAATATATATTACTGTTGAAGTATTTATTAGATTAAGTGTATCTTGTTGGATATTTATGAGATTAGTTGTAGACCTAGTTCCTAGAATGCATCTGTTTATCTTCTCTAGGATTAATCATGTCTCTCTATTTATTGTATCTCTGAATCTGTACTTTTATCTCCTATAAATAAGAGAACACAAGAAGATGATTTCAGGCTCTCAAAATCAGTTCTTTATTTTCTTTTTCTATTTCAAGTTGGTATCAGGGCGGGTTCATCCCGCTCTGCCTGTCTCTGTTATTTTTCTGGCATTAATCGCTGTTCGCCGCCGTCCGCCGCCGTCCGCCGCCGGTGCTGTCTTCTCCGGCGCCGTTCTCCTCTCTGACACTTGGGTTTGGCTCGCCTCGAGGAGCGCGACCCAACCCCAGTGTTCGCTTCCTCTATCTCTGCCTCACGCGCCTCCACGCGCCACCCTTGTCCGCGGCTTCCTCCGCGCGTGGGCCTCACGCGCCGTCCTCTCGGTGGCCGTTTTGCTCCAGGCCACCTCTATCCGGCTCGCCTCGTCGTCCTGGTGCCAGATCTGCACTTTGTTTTGTGTTCTCGGTCACAAAACGTGGTGGGTCTGTGTTTTTCTCTCTGCCTCTCTCGGTCCTGTCTCTGACAGCACTCTAACAACACGCTGGTCCTCTCTTGTTTCCTGGAAAATGTCAGGAACTGTGTCTGTATCTTTTTCTGGGACTCCGACTATAACCACAGAAAAATTAAATGGAAAAAATTATTTGTCTTGGGCTTCCTCTGTTGAGCTCTGGTTTCTAGGTCAAGGAGTTCATGATCATCTAGAAGAAGATGGGAGTACTATACCAGCGAGATCGGGCTCCTCAATGGAAGAAAGCTGGATTATCAACTTTGTGCACTATTATGGCAATCTGTTGAACCTCATATTTTGAGCACTCTTCGAGCCTTTAAGACATGTAATTCTTTTTGGAAAAAGGCCCAAAATATCTTTGCTAATGATATTCAACGACTTTATGATTACGCTAATAGACTTGCCTCCCTTAAGCAAGAGGATAATTCCATGATGTCCTTTGTTCGTTGAAGCTCGAGTCAGCTGTTGAAGAATTAAAAATGTTCTTGGAGGCGAGAATCATTAGAAGAAAGAAAGACGAAGGCTGGATAAATTCTATATGGTAATGATTCTTAGGGCTATGAATCCAGAGTTTAATCATGTTAGAGACCAGATTCTAAGCTGGAGAAGAAGTTCCTTCTACGGAGAGTTTAATCACAAGGCTACTTCGTGTTCCTTCTATCAAAAGCAAAAACGATCGGGAACTTGCTGATTCTTCCGCCATGGTTTACGCTCGTGGAAGAGGTAATCACGGCTCTAGAGGACGTGGTGGGAAAGGACGTCCTCGGTGCTCTCATTGCAAAAGAATGGGACATACTAAGGAAAATTGCTTTGCTCTGCACGGCTTTCCGATAAGGCGAGCTAATACCTCAAAATCTGAAGTTGATGAGCCCAAGTTCTCTCATGAAGAGTATCAAGAATATTTAAGGATGAAATCAACCAATTTGGCTCAAGCATCTACAACACCAAATTCATCAACCGCTTGCATTTCGCAATCTGTGGAAAGTCAAAATCCATGGATTATTGACTCAGGTGCTTCTGACCACATGTCTGGTAATACCTCTTTATTTTCCTCTCTTTCATTTCCTAAAACATCCCATCTCGTATCTTTAGCTAATGGATCTAAAGTAGCCTCTAAAGGAATTGGTCAAGTATCCATCTCTTCTTCTTTAAACCTTCAAAATGTTCTTTGTGTTCTTTCTTTTCCATTCAGTCTTGTTTCTGTAAGTCAATTAACCAAATCATTGAATTGCTCAGTAACCTTTAATGCCAATTGCTTTGTTATCCAGGAACGTGGTACGGGTCGACTGATTGGAGAAGGACATGAATCTGGAGGCTTATACTACCTTAGTACTAAGTCATCTGTATCTTGTGTTGCATCCTTATCCCCAAAGCTGTTACATGAGCGATTAGGGCATCCTCATTTAGCAAAATTGAAAAAAATGGTTCCTGAACTACGGAACCTTCAAACTTTTGAATGTGAAGCACTGTCAACTAGGGAAACATACCAGGTCATCCTTTCCAAATCATTCTGAATCTAGATGTGATTACGCTTTTAGTATTGTTCATTCGAGATATATGGGGACCTAGTCGTGTTTCATCTTTTGGTTTTAGATATTTTGTTACTTTTATTGATGAGTTTTCTAGATGTACTTGGGTTTATCTTATGAAAGATCGTTCGAACTATTGCCTATCTTTAAGTCTTTCCTTAATGAAATCAAAACTCAATTTGGAAAAGTAATCAAAATTTTACGAAGTGATAATGCCAAAGAGTACTTTTCTACTGATTTTTCTAATGTCCTAAATTCTCAAGGCATTTTACACCAGTCCACGTGTCCTCACACACCACAGCAAAATGGTATAGCAGAACGAAAGAATAGACATTTGGTTGAAACTGCTCGTACCTTGTTACTGGGTGCCAATATGCCTATTCATCATTGGGGAGATGTTATTCTAACTGCATGCTTTCTCATTAATAGAATGCCATCTTCTTCTCTTGATAATAAAGTTCCACACTCCATTCTATTTCCAAAGGAACCAATTTTTCATGTTTCTCCTAGAGTATTTGGATGTATATGTTTTGTTCATGACATGTCTCCTGGCTTAGATAAACTCTTACCTAGAGCTATCAAATGTGTCTTCTTGGGGTATTCTCGTCTTCAAAAAGGATATCGGTGTTATTCTCCTGAAACCAAGAGGTATTACATGTCTGCTAATGTCACCTTTTTTGAATCATCATCCTTCTTTCCTTATTCTATGCAGGATATTGATTCTGTCCAAAATGTGTTTCCTGTTCCCTTTGTTGAATCGAGTTGTACCTCCTATTCCTGACACCCCAAATCCCAACCAAAATACTCTAGAATCGAGCATCACGACCTATCATCACCTATCAACGCAGGAACCAGGTGAACAATCCTATTCCCCAAGATGAGCCATCCATAACAGGTCCTTCACCATCATCCTCTAATACCACGGCTCCCGATAACGATGACTCCAGTTGGCCCATTGCCATTCGTAAAGGTACTCGTTCTACTCGTAATCCTCATCCCATTTACAATTTTCTTAGTTATCATAGATTGTCTCCTTCCTATTGTTCTTTTATTTCCTCTGTCTCCTCTATTACAATTCCCAAAAATGTGGTCGAAGCGCTTGATCATCCTGGATGGCGACAAGCCATGATTTACTGAAATGCGGGCTCTTGATCACAGACAAAACATGGGAGCTTGTTCCTCTTCCTTCGGAAAGAAAACAGGTTGGTTGTCGTTGGATCTATGCTATTAAAGTTGGGCCCAATGGTCGGGTTGATCGTCTTAAAGCAAGGTTAGTAGCTAAAGGGTATTCTCAAATATATGGGCTTGATTATTGTGATACTTTTTCTCCAGGTAGCCAAAATGACCACTTGTCGCCTGTTCCTTGCCATGGCCGCCATTCGTCACTGGCCTCTTCATCAATTGGATATTAAAAATGCTTTTTTGCACGGTGACTTAGAAGAAGAAGTTTACATGGAGCAACCTCCTGGATTTGTTGCTCGGGGGAGTCCGGTTTGGTTTGTAAATTACGTCGATCCCTCTATGGCCTAAAACAGTCTCCACGTGCTTGGTTTGGAAAATTCAGCTCTATTGTTCAAGCTTTTGGATTAAAACGCAGTGAAGCAGATCATTCGGTGTTTTTTGTCACACTGCCCCTGGCAAACATGTTTATTTAATTGTGTACGTTGATGATATTGTCATCACAGGGAATGATGCTTGCTAAAATATCTCGGCTAAAAGAACACTTGTGTAGTCATTTTCAGACCAAGGATCTTGGAAATCTAAAATATTTCTTGGGTATTGAAGTAGCTCAATCAAGAGAAGGTATTGTCATCTCTCAAAGGAAGTATGCTCTAGATATTCTAAAAGAGACAGGTATGATTGATTGCAAACTCGTGGACGAGTCCTATGGATCCAAATTTGAAGTTAATGGCGGGACGGGGTGAAGTTTTCTCTGACCCAAAAAGATATAGAAGAGCTGGTTGGGAAACTTATTTATTTGACGATTACTAGACCTGATTTGTCTTTTGCGAGTTGGTGTTGTCAGCCAATTTATGCAAGCTCCTTGTGTGGATCATTGGAATGCTATCATTCGAATCTTAAGATACATTAAAAAAGCTCCAGGACAAGGATTATTATATGAAGATAAGGGAAATACCCAAATTTTTGGGTACTGTGATGCTTGATCGGATTTGGATCTCCTATGGATAGGCGTTCCACTACAGGCTATTGTGTTTTCCTTGGAGGAAATATCATTTCATGGAAAAGCAAAAAGCAAAACGTTGTTGCCCGATCCTCTGCTGAAGCTGAATATAGGGCAATGGCGTCTCTTACTTGTGAACTTGTTTGGGTAAAACAATTCTTGCAAGAATTGAACTTCTGTGAGATTCAATCTATGAAGATGTATTGTGATAATCAAGTTGCTCTTCACATTGCTTCCAACCCAGTATTTCATGAGAGGACTAAGCATATTGAGATTGACTGTCATTTTATTCGGGAGAAGTTGTTGACTAAAGAAATTTGTACTTGAGTTTGTTGGTTCCAATGATCGGCTTGCGAGATGCATTAACAAAATCTTTGAGAGGACCTCGAATGGAATTCATTTGTTCCAAGCTTGGTACATTCAATTTGTATGCTCCAGCTTGAGGGGAGTGTTGAAGTATTTATTAGATTAAGTGTATCTTGTTGGACATTTATGAGATTAGTTGTAGACCTAGTTCCTAGAATGCATCTGTTTATCTTCTCTAGGATTAATCATGTCTCTCTATTTATTGTATCTCTGAATCTGTATTTTTATCTCCTATAAATAAGAGAACACAAGAAGATGATTTCAGGCTCTCAAAATCAGTTCTTTATTTTCTTTTTCTATTTCAAGTATTACTAAATTTCTAAAGTTCAACTTCACATGAAAGAGAGGTATCTATACAACACTGCTAGCAGAAAAATTCAATCAGAATCAAAAGATTATTAATAATCAACAAATTCTAATAATCTATAACTTAAAACACAAGTTTGAAACTTAAGGCATATTATAATAAGTTTCTCAAAGTAGACAGAAAACTGACAATACAGTTGGAACCTTAAGCAAAGCATGAGTTTCAAGAAATATGAATGCACATGAAACAGAATACAAAAACACTTTTTTTTTTTTAGAACTACTGCTGTTTACATAATAAGAACTATATTTAAATTCTTCAACAACTATATTTGTCAACTTTATTTTCATCAAAATTAGTTTAACTCGGTAATCCGAGTAGGGTCCAATGTAACAATAATGTAAACAAAGTGATAAAGAGAAAGGGAATGGATTAACAGACAATAAATCAATGAATGCATTCCTTATTAATTGTGGCGGGAATGAGTACCACCAAAATTTGAAAAAAGTAAGTAACATTAGAACTTCATTGTCCATTGAAAGTTATCAAATTAGGTTAACAATTAGAGACAATGAGAAATTGGAACGTGAACTACAACCTAGCCATCACAACTGGAAAATTACAACCTAATACCATTTGGAAAATGTAGAAAGCCAATTGAAAAGCAAAAATCCTATGAGAGAAAGAATAAACAAATGAGACAAATAAGCTTAAGTGCCACTTCTTATGGTAATCTTACCAAGCACAATGCCTAACACAATCAATAACCTCTTCTCTATACTCATTACGAGCTTCTTTTAAATGCTTCAATTGCTCACCGCAAGCTCGATCTCTTATTTGCTTATCAGTTTCCTCCAAAAGGGAAATTGACTGTGTCTGATGAGTCATGTAGTATGATGCCTACAAAAACAGGAAGAATAACAGATACATCTCTTTACATTTTTTTGGCTAAAATTCAAATGATATTCAACATCAATTAAGTGATTAGAAGTTTTTGAAATTCCAAGGCTGAGCAATAGAGTAAGATTACTATTGGGTTAGAATTGAGTAATATCATTGTAAGGCAAAATCAAAGTCCTAGTATTGAAAAAACTATTTGTAGGATGCTTTTTCATAAAATTTATCATTGGAGGAAAATTTTGTTTCATGCAAATCATGCTTAGAAAACTTTTCATACTTACCAAAATAAAGTTGAGGTGGTAGTTATAAGAGGTTTACAATATTTCATCATGCTCGTGAATTTTACTAAGCTCACCTCATGTTTCAGAAATATCATTATTGAAGAGTTTAACTCAAATCTATAAAACCAACTTGTAAGACGAAAATTCTACAACTTTTATAAGATTTATTTAGTCATATCTCTAGTCAACATGAACCTAAACCACAGCCACTGAGACTGCAATTAAGGCAACCCCCAAGAGACCGCAACTAAGGCAAGCTAAGGGTGATCATAATTAAGACAGCTTCCCAACCTTGCCCCCTAAGCCCAGCGCTATCGGCCTGGCATGGCAAATGTAGATAACCCAACAATGAATCTAGAACATACTCTAATATCATATAAAATTTGGGTTTGAAGCCTAACTCAACCCCACTCCCGACTTATAAGGTGAGCATTGTCCAGGCTTTATATGTTCTATTTTAGCCATATCACAAGTCGACTTGGGACTAAACCACCATCCTTGAGGCTACAATTAAGTAGCCCCAAAGAAGCCATAACTAAGGCACACTACGAGTGACAGCAATTAAGGTGAATTTCCAAACAATCATTAACTGACTTCTGGTATGAATTATCGTCAAACAGGTATCCCATTTAAATCTTTCCAGATATATAATTCCATACAGGTTAAATCAAAGACAAAGGAGGTTGGTGTATGTGACTGTAATTCAGGTAAGCCAATATAGATTTAAGACTTCAAATAAATGTTTGGTTCTTGATTAATTTGGGGAGCAATTATGCTTCTTTTTTTCAAAATCCTGATTCAGTAAGATCTTAAATATAAACTATTTTGAACTCAAAATAGATTAATACAAACACACCTAGTCATAAAATAAGTTCTAGACCATTTTAAATAATATTGAGTGTTAGCAGTTATTGCTGATTTGGAAGCAAGTCTTGTGTGCACCCACCACTCCTTTACATTTATCTTTCTCAATCTTTAGGAAAAGTTCAGGAAAGTTCAAAGAAAATCAAGCTGGTCATTGACAAAACTTTCAGAAATTATAATAAATTTTGTAAGCATGCTCTCACCTGCTTAAAATTTGGAGCAAGACCGACATGATACAACCATAGCAAATCATCAAGTAGCTCTTCTTCTCGTAGTGTAGCTGTAGAGATATTAGTATCCTTTGGTACAGGCTTCATATGGTGCACTTGGCGGTAACCATATTCAGGTTCAGATTGATCACTGGAGCTAGGTTTATCAGTTATCTCATCATTCAGACTCCCATCACTGCATTCAGCAGTGACATGAGCTGGTCTTTCTGGAATAGAGCTACAATGACCACGAGAACCTTTGGCCAGGTATTTAGCAGGAACCTTGAAGTTCCTTGTAAAATCAGAATCATAACTAGAACAACAGCATGGCTTTTGCCTGGTTGAATGAGTAACCCTGGTTTCTTCACTATCCATGCAACCTTCATCCCATTGAATTACTTCCATTTCATGATCAAATGTAGGGTGCAGCTTTGATAAATGGTTATAGGATCCCCCAAGCCTGGAGATATCAACCCTATGGGGATCACTTTTAAGAAATAAATGAACAGGAAAGCTTTGTTCACCACCTCTATGAAGGAAACCACCATCTGCTTTGCAGCTCTTTAACCAGCCACAGATGTCACCCAAGGCAAATCCTTCAGATAGAAAATGGAGTACAACTGTGTAAATTGAAACAAGAACTGAGTTGCTAGAAACACCAGGGGGTGGAATATTCCGTTCTGCTCCTCTGTTCTTCAGTAGAAGGCTCTGTAAAAATGTCCTAAATACTGCTCCAGGTAGCTGGGGAGGATTCGTAGGTGGTATAAATTGTATCACTAAACGACAAAGGTCCCTATGCTTCTCCTCAATCTACATTTGAACGAGGCATACTCAGAGAAATGTAGGAAACCATGAAAGGAGTATCCAATAGCACAATAGTTCACAGAATTTTACCCTCAAATAAAAAAAGAAAAATTATTCATAAAATCCATAGAAAGAACCCTATCTATTGCATTCTAAGACAATAAAGAGAAGGTAAATGAAAAATTCTTATATTTTACAGAAAATACAGATAGCCAAAGTTTTTATCCTAGCCCCTTATTCCTAGTCCCAATGCCTTGTCAGACAGAAATATGATGTAGAAGAATATTGTGAAATGAAATTGAAAACGAATTCACAATCAATAAGAATCATTGACATAAATAAAAAGTAAAGATATTTTTTCCTCAATCCTCGTACCTTGAGAAGTAACATCAAATGCTCATATTCACTAATTAGACCACATGATAAATAAAGAGGGGAATGCCTTCAGCTTATAAGATTTGGCATCATATTCACCAGTAAATTTTGTAAAAGTTTCTCCCGTTTTCATTCACCTTCATGCATAAATGACCGGTCAGAGCATTCTTACATTGATCTCAAAGCACTGACAGACATTCCCCTAAACCCATTGACCCATATAGGACTTAGGATTAAGAGAAAAAAATGTTATTAAAAGAAGAAACACCTTCATCTAGGTACAGAAAGGTACAATAAAACATATGCAACTCTTGGTATTCACTCATAACACTCTCCTCTTACTGTTTATTACTATCCTACTCCATCAATCATTCCAATGCAATAGACAATTTTATTTAACGGGAAAAGTCATCTCAATGGCTTGCTGAAAAATATGCATAATTATTGAATACAAAAACTTATCAGTTTAATTGTTTGCTAGTTGCTTCTTCAAAGTTCAGGAGAAACAGCGAGGTATTCACCTCATATATAATATCTAAAATTGAAGTAGGATAAAAAAGAGAGAAAAAATATACCTTGCTGACTGATTCAGATAAAGCTGTGGTTGTCAACATCATGTTACCTTCATAAGATGCATCCTCACAAGAACCAGGCCACCAAACAGTTGGTATCATGGAGTCAAGATCCTGTTTGTTTGGAGTCTTTTGTGACAGAAAACCTTCAAACAAGAATTCAAAATCTGGTGACTTCCACCAAAGCACCATAAGTTCTTCTCGTCTTAGAAGATGACATGCCAATGCAAGGTGAGAATATGATCCAGAATAAGGACATTCAGTTAAAATTAATAAGGCTATTTTACAACCACAGGAAAGAGCATTTAGGATGTGTTCAAATAGCACATGGGATCCTTGAAATTGCAGCATAACCTCAACTACTTTATCCAAGCTTGAGTAATCATGGGGTGCATGCAAACCAAAAACTTCAAACATGAAAGACAACAGTGGACCCCAAACCATATACTCTGTGGTCCCAACATCGGCTTCAAGTATAGAGAATAATTCCTCACATATAGCATAAGAAGCAGGATGGAAAATTTCTTCCAATGAATCAAATCTCTTCACCCTTCTCAATTTCTGAGCTAAGGAATGATCAGCTCGTTCTACTGAATGCATGTCCAACAATCTTGACCAGCATTGCAGTAATTGGGTGACATAGTAGTTCTTAGAGGGAGGAGCCTGAAGAGGAAGGTAGCCTACAATTGGATACTTAAAGGGTCGAGCTCCAAAGTTTAACTCACATCTTTCACCCTGGGATAGAGAAACTGCTGGATAGTAACCAAAACCTGGACCCATTTTTCGAATTCCTTGGAATGCCACCCCAAGTGAATTACCATTCCTGTAGAATAATATTTCATCTCGATCTAAGTCTATACAACATCCAATAATATCACCAACAACCCATGACTCGCCATATGTCTCATCATCCTTGTTCCACTTGCTAACTCGCCTCCCATCATAAGCATATGAATCATCAGCATCGCCAACACCTTTATGGTCAGTAAAAGGGCAAGAAAGAGTGGCCCAACCAAGTTGCTGTATGCCAGATGTTTCCAACATAACCTCATACATCCATTTTCCCTTCCAAACACAAGCACTAGCCCTGGCACTACTAAACATCGCCATGCTCTCTATAAGAAAAGGTGACTTGATGACTTTAATATCACCACAGATGCTGGATACTTCTAGGCCTATAATATCAGGCCCGTTGCCATTTTTACCATTAATATAACAAATCCCATCACTTTCACTATACGAATCATTAAATTTCACAATATATCTTGAGAAATCATTTCTAATGACAGAGTGTATAAAACCACGATCAACCCGACCAGTCAATGAATTGAGCGATCTGTTTCGGAGGCCAAACACGTACTCAAGGGTTCGCTCCACCGATTGCTGACCCAAATCGTCACAGCAAGAAAGAAGCCGAGTTTTTGGCAAATTTTTCTTGCCGTCCTCACCGTTCAATATCACAGCCAGCCCAGCCGAAAACCCACCAACTCGCGGGATATCTTCACCCATCTGTGAAACACCGGAAGCACTATCCGTCAACTAGCCCGAAGCCAGCTGAAAGCTTTTCCAAATTCAAATCCCCTTCAACTGTCACAAAGTCAATTAAGCTCGCTAAGTATTCGTGATCCATATCAAAAAAATATTAAAAAACCCCAGCATCTCATACAAACGTTTTAGGACCAACATTCACAACATGCAACAACAGAACAGAAATCTATATAGTAGCTTAAAGGTACAATATGCCCAAAATTTGACATGAACGAACACCAATTCAAAAATATACAAAAGTGCAAGTTCGTTCTTTGCTCATGTCCCACAACAACAACAAAGCCCAACAAGTTCAGAGAATTCCAAAAACAAACACCAGTTTCCCAGGAAAATAAACAGACCCACAGAGAGAGAGAGAGAGAGAGAGATTTACAAAGATGGTGGAAGACTTGGTGATAAGGATAAATTTTTAAAAAATGTAGAAAACTGTAAGAGGCGACCCTCAAATTGAACCAAAGAGCGTTACCACCGTATAACATGAAAAGGCTTGGAAGTTGATATTATTAATTAAAGAAACAATTAATTTAAAACGGAAACTTACAGCAAAAGCTCATGCTGAGGCGAGAGAAAAGGCGGCGGAAGGTGGCTAGGGTTTTGCAGGCTCCATTGCTTCGAGATTCGATGACAGCAACAGACTAGAACAGTGGTAGGAGAGAAAGGAAACGTGGAATTTTCCGAGGGAGAAGCCGTATTTGATGTTGTTATTTTTATAATTGATTATGATGATTCTGTTTTTTTGGTAATAATGATTTTGGCCAAAAAGTTTTGGGGTTAAAGGCAAAGAAACGAGGAACAGGAGCTGAGCGCGCCGACTCGAACCGAACCGAACCGGAAGATCCGTAGCGAATGGAGTGGCGACTGACACGTGTCGAGGAAAGGAGCGGTTGATTGGTGTGTTAGGTGGTGAGTTGATGGGTAATGATACTGGGAACTGGAAGAATAGGGGCCACCCGTTGTAGGAATGGGAGTGGTGGACAACATTGTTGGTGGGTCAATTATACGTTTCACTGCACATCGACTCGGTGCACATATTCGGTTTCCCAAAACAAAAGATACCATACCATCATCTATCTATACATTTTAAACAAATATTTCAAATTTTTTTCTACTATTAGCTAATATTCTTAATAAAACTAATTTATATAATAAATAAATTTCCATTAGTTCAAGTAATCAATTTCATTCATTTTAATCAATAATATAATAAATTTCAAATTTTATTTCATAAACATTCATTTTATTAATCAATTTACAGTAAATAAAAAAATATATGTAAAAAGGTTAACGATTATTACATTTTAGGTAAAGTTATTAATCATAAAATACATTTATGGAGTTTTTGCTTATTTATGGTTTTCATTGAAACAACTGATAGAGTCATTGTCATTAAAACACGTTATTTAATTACATTTTAGTTTTGAGAAAAAAAAATGGGTCTCGTGTGGAGATGTGTTTTTCTCTTCTTCTTTTTTTTAATATATATAGTTTATTCAAGATTTGACGTAGATATTCATTAAATTGACACTTTTACCCTGTTCGGTTTGAATCTTCTCAGATTTTTTTTCCAACGTGTCTAGTTGGTGAAACTTTAAAGTTTTTTTTTTCACAAGTATTATGTTGGTTTGAGCTTTTTTTTCATCATTGCTGGCCTCTAATATTAAAAATATATTATATGGATACAATATTATAAACTAGATTATAATTTATAGATTTTAAATAAGAAAAAAAAATAAGTCTCATTAAATGTAAGGATAATAATATCTTTATATAAATTTTACTTTTTTAAGTCATTAAATAAGTAATTGTTTCCCTTTCTATATTTTCATTGAATAAGAATTTGAAATAAAACAAAAAAAATTTAAAGTTAAATTTAAGTTATTAAAATAAAGAACACGGTCTTAAAAGAAAAATTACATGATGTAATAGAAAGCAACATATGTCAACATGTGTCCAGCTACTGTAACAGGTTCATAATGATTATTAATTATTGTTATTGAAATCTTCAAAGACGAAGGAAAAAATAATAAATGAGTTTTTAAAAGGTCGTAAATGTTTTTTTTTTAAGTTATTTTAAATTAATCACTCTCATTTCGGTTGTTTTTACATTAGTGTTCATGTAGACGATATATTAAAGTTTTATTAATTATTGGATAAATAAATGGTATTTTTTATTCTCTTTTAATTTTTTTTACTTATATAATTTGATTGCTTCTCATTCTCTCAACAATATTTCAATAGTTTAGATTGACAAGTTTTTAATTCAAACACTTACTCGTAATTTAAAATTTTAATCTTTCTGCGTCCATTTTATTGAATTGAATCCAAATTATATTGAAGTCCCTCTATAATTCATTGAAAGTTCAAAATCAATATTTCCATCATCAGAATACTAAAAGAAAAATGATACTTTAATAATTCTGTTTTAATATTATAATAATAATTTTATTTTATTTTTATTTTTATTAAATCAGTCTATAAATTATTATATTAATAAAAATGAGTTGTTTAAAGAGTTGTATAATTTCTAGTGGTCAAAATATTAGTATTCATACCGAAATTATAATGTGAAGCAAAACAGACGCACCAAAAACAATGGAGCCATGTCAACAGGATGATGTTTCATTGAAAAGGACTGTAACTCTCAATAACATGCAATTTATTCAAGAAATTAATGAGGAAGGTTAACCACGCAATTTCTTTACCATTATGTAATAAAAAAAAGCCAAATGTAATGCACGAATAATTCGTAACTATAGACTTTAGTTACATCAAAATTTGTTTGGTTCAGTGAGTTTAAATCAATTGAAAAAAAAAAACTGTTCGTTTGTTTTTCAAATAATAACAAATATATATATATATATATATATATATATATATATATATTTTTTTTTTTTTCAAATTTATCTATGTGCACCAAAACAGTATTGGATGTTGGGAGAACCAGCTGTAAGCTCGTGTCACATTTCACCCCTAACTACAACTCATTTATTAAATCTTTAACATCACATCAATCATATTTTTATATATAAAATAGTATTCTCCCTTACATTTAAAAAACTGTAATATTGAATTTGGAATCACAAAGAAAATTACGATATTAATAATAACCTAATCTTAACTAATTAATAAAAAGTCTGACATAATTGTCAGTTTTTCTTATTTTAAGTAATGATATTATATTTTATGATGAATTAATATGTTTATGTTGTTGTTTAAAAAAAACATATTTTTTTTGTTATTTTTTTATTATTAAATAAGAAAAATATTGTTTATTTTCTTTTCTATTTGTGACATTCCTTTAAAGAGAATTTAAAATGTAAGTATTTTAATGAAAAATAAAATTTAACGTTTTACTTATTAAATTAAAAAAGTTATAAATAAAAAAATTTATTTATTTAGATTTTATTCTAAAAAAATCATTATCATTATAATTCTTTTTTTTTCTCTCTCTAACTTCATTTTCTTCTTCTAATAGCTCGTATTTTTTAGATAAAATACAACTTAGTGTTTATAGAATAGAGAAGAGTATTTTTAATCTATCTTAGAGTAAATTTCTCTCTACCTATCTTTAGAATATCCTCAGGTAAAATTGGGAGCTTGCATGTGGGTCTAAGGTTCATGCATTTGAGTTTTATTGAGTAAAGATGAAAGTTGACTAATTTATGAATAGATTTAATTTATTAATTGGAGTTCTCTTGTGAACAAAATCTAATTTTTTATGAATTTAGAACCTTTTAAAGTTATTGAAATTGAAAACGGGAAAATTGTGGCAAGGGAAAATACATATTTAATTTTTATAATAATCTAGATTATAAGACATGAATTGTGATTTGTAGGGAATTGATTTTCAATTTGATTATTAATACAAACTAAATCTTCACGACTAAATACGAGTGTTACGCTTTTTGTGGGACTTAATCCAACAATTTTTTTAAAGAAAAATGATAATAAATTCCGTCACATTTTAACATCAATTTTTAAATAATAATGTATAAATAAATATTACAAAATTAAATTATTAATCAAATTAAATTAAGTTCAAATTATTTCTTTTAAAATTCATTAAATAATTCATAATAATTAAAAAAAATAATTAATAATTTAATTAATAATTAAATAAATAAAATAATTTATTTTATTTATTTAACGATAAATTAGAATGTGTTTGAATAAGTTAAATTAATGACATGAAAAAATACATATGAAGTATTTGGGTACAGTAATTATATTTGGACTAGATAATGATATAATGCATTTTCAAATGATAGTATTTGATATTAAAAAACTTGCATTTAGATGTATGTTTTACAAATTTGTTATCTATTAATTTCACGTGAACAATAATTTGTCTTTTAAACAAAATGTATAATAAAAGACTAACTCCTCTTAGATGTATTTTTGCTAAATAAAAAAGAATTTTCTCTTAAACGAAAGATTTCGTTCTTCTAAAATTTATAAGTTCAAACTTTTTTAGATTATAAAAACTAGTTTTGAATTTTCAAATTTCATATGCATAAAATGAAGTCTTAAAAATAAAGAATAATGAAACAATAATTATTTAAAAAATATACTTATTTACAAATAAAGTTATAAATAAAAAATTGGCAAAAAATCATAAAAATATATTTTTGTTATAACGTGCTAAAAGGTACGTAGATATTTTTTTTACGATGCAATTTGTTTTTTTAAATCTATAAAAAATGAGTAAATCTTAAAAAAATTACGATTTATTTTTTAATTTTAAGCAGAAATGGTCCTATATATAATACGATTTATATATTTGATTTATACAGAAGTCTACGACTTCAGCTTTTTTTTATTTGTAGTAATTGATTATTATTATTATTATAAATAATAAAAATATTATAATAATAATATTTTTATATTATTAATATATTTAGATATTAATAATTATTATTCTTATTTGTAATAAAATAAATAATAATTATGCTATATTATTTAAATAATATTAATATTTAATAATAAAAATTACTTTTTTATTATAATATTATTTTATTAATATTATTATAATAATTCATAATAAAAAAGAATAATATTTTTTTAATAATATTTATTATAATAATTATAATCTTAAAAACATTATTATTATTTTTTATTATTAAAAATTATAATACCAATAATCATATTGCTAATAAATATTAATAATAGAAAACTATTATTATTTTTATTATTAATAATAAACTAATAAAAAATTTATTAATGTAATACTTTATTAAAATAAATTTATTATTAAAATTCTAAAATAAAATTTTACTATTAAATAATACTTTGAAATGAAAATATTATTATAATATTTTATTTATTTATAATAATAATAATATTATTATTATTATTATTATTATTATTTTAAACAAAATAATAAGTTGTATTATGTAGTACCTCTTCTATATAAATCAAATATATAGAAGTAGTACTAAATGAAAATGATTAATTTTTAAAAAAATTATTATTTTAGTAAAAAAATTTAAAAAATTACACTACATACCTAGTACATTGATTTATGATATTATAATACATGTTAACGAATAAAATGATATGTGATAAGAATTATTATATGTCTAAAAATTTATTTTGTTGTAATACGATATTTATAAAATAATATATTCATAATGAATCATAAAATATATGATGGTGTTGTATCATACAACTTGTATGTTCTTAATACTAACATATATTTGTTGAAACTTAGTTAAACCAATACATACATGTGTATAAGAGATTAAATTTAATTAAGAATATGATCTTTTATTGATTGAGATCTATGTAGTTACGAGTATATGTAGAGGTATAGTATGGTGTGGTGTAATGTGTAAGGATATTGAACGAGGATTCTAAATAAGATTATCATGATTTTATTTATCACTAAAATCACATGGATTAAAGGATAATGTGGTGAAAGTTTAATGAAATTTCTAAGGATTTAGTGTATGATGGAAAAAATATAGTGTTTGAACGAGTCATTTAGAAATTTATCTTACTCACATGAATGTATTTATATAACATATTAAGTATCCTTCTGTCCACACTTAAGGAATTGATGTATGACGTGTGCATAATTTATGAGTCTAATTCAATATTCAGACTTTCAAAGGTTGTTTAAGGTATGTGCAATGTGATAGCCCTGTATTAATGTGATGTGATATTGACTATGTAGGAGTGTGATGAGATATATTTATATTTGTGTAATGTGATAATTAACCTGAATAAACATGAAGTGATATATCCACCCTTGAATGAAATTGTGTAGTAGTAATATATTTAAAAATATATGTACGTGTTGTTTTACAATGAATTCAAATTTAAAAATATTTATTTTTAATTACTATCTTATCTTGTATGTTACTTTAAACTATGACGATTATATATTTTATACGAGGACAAACAATAATAGAAATATTATAAGATATTAAGACGTTGTTAGATTAGAAGTCTAAAAATATCAAGAGTGACTAAAGACATCAATAATAAAACTATCATTAATAAAACTAGTTGAAAAAAATAAGTTATTTATGATTTCTTATATGTTTATTGAAAGAATTTTTGAATGAGTGAAAAATAGTAAATAAATTATATATTGGGATGTTGCTAAAGTGGTGAAGTGAGATTGAGTTTGACTTAAATGAATTATACAAATATGCATTATGATTCATGACGAGAATGTCTCGATTTTATGTTTGTTATAATCAATTGGTATGTTTGAGGTATTGTTCATTTTGAATTTCTCATTCATTATTGTTTTATCCTAAAAATACACACCGTGGATTAATAAAAAATAATATATTTAAACAACTTTTGACATCGACTTATAAACTATATGAAACTCATGAACGTAATGGACAATATCAAATAAAAAAATATAAGATGATTTATGATGTTAATATTTTAATATTTAAAATGATTACAAATATTATTTTGTAATTTTTTTATTTAAAAACTATTTCAAATGTTTTTTTACTCTTAGCAAATATTTTGTTTTTCCATTTTTTTCTTATTTTTTTAAATTAATTTATTTTCTTAAGTAATCATAAGTGATTGACCCATGCATAGAAAATGCTCTATGTAATGGAGAACAGTTATGATTGAGCCCTGCAGTAGCCAATGTACCTATAATCCTCTAAGAAGGTGGGTTTGTGATTGACTTTCTGATTTCTTTATCTATATTAGTACATATGCACTTTGCATCGTCACACGAAAACCTTTAACTTGGTTATATATTACAAATATTCTTCAATTATAGAATAAATTACACTTTTTTCTATACGAATATTCCTACATTATTCTCTCATAATACATTTCAATATATCATACTTTTATCTATTTTTTTAATGTTAATTCTCATTAAACAAATACTAGCAAAATATTTTTTTCATTCTTATCCCTTGTGCCACGTGGTACATGTGTTGGATATTTTGATTCTATTCTATAAAATGGTAAATGAATACTGACATATATCAAGTTAGATTGTATAAAGAAAGAGAAGAAAAAAACACACACAAAAATTACAAAGATTAGAAAATCTCAAATAGTCATGAATGATTGATTTTATGATATTTTCTTAATTAAATCATGTAATTTTTAACGATATTCACTATCTCTTTAATTAGAGAAAATGAAAAAAAAATTTAATTTAATATATTTGAAAATATGACTGTGTTTATG